AGGTTATAGATAGTATGTGGTTGCATTTATCCACCCCTTTTTTTGAAGCCTGTCCTAATCAGATTCTATATATGAAGCTATATTTAAAATTTTCTATGAAAGTACTAAATACTAAATAGTAATACTGTAGGATAAGTTGTAGAATTATCATGAATACTTGAAAGCCTTCTTTGATAGAACAAAATTCTGTTTATTAGGATTCTGCTATTGACTGGTCTTCTAGTAGTTTTCTTTTTTGCAAAAAGGTTTTTTCCATGGTGAGTGGGCATTGTCTTATGACTATAAATTGTGACAGAGTAATGCAAGAGTTATTATTTTATTATCCCTTTTAGGATGTGACTCTTGACCTAGTGGAATTAACTTTTAAGGATCAGTATATTGGCCGTGGGGATATGTGGCGATTAAAGAAAAGTTTGGTAAGGTGTGATTTTAAAAAAAGTTTGTTACTTTTTCCATTATTATGAATAACCCCTGTTTATCATAGAGATTTAGAAGAGCTTAGTAGGGAGAAGAGTATAAAACCATTTCTGATTCCAGCATCTACAGATAATTATTATAAGCATCTTGTGTGTTCTTCTCTTTTCTCTTCATAGCTTTTTTGAGCTTTGTTTTGTTTATTGTTACAGATTGTTACTATACATTTTAAGTTTGAATGGGAAATTATACTATATTTTACATTTGAATGGTATTTTAGTTTTCAGATTTCCACTTGATCTCATTTTTTCTTCACATCTCCTCCTTATGGACAGGTATTTATTATCCCTAATTTATAGAGCTGAAAACTGAGATTGAGAAGTTAAGTGATTGCCCAAGGCTAGATAGCTAGTAAGCAGTTGACACTTGGCCAGAACCCAGATCTTGTGGCTTCTAGGTCAGACTGCTTTTTGCTGCACCCTCCTCCCATTTTCCATATTTATTTTTAATGGACATTTTTTACTCAAAAGATCAGCTCATCAGAATTGTGACCTGGTTCTGAAAATTCTCCTTATTGGAATGTTTGCATATTATGAAATGACAAATTAAAGGTTGAAATGCCATACAGTGTGTATTTTCAGGAAAAAAAAATTGGCTTATTTTTTATTTGATGAGGGAGGGTTCCATTTTCTAAAATGAAAAACTACTATATTTAAATGAGTATATAAATGTAGATATAGATATAAACATGTGAAGGTAAGTATATTTGTGAAGCTGGCCATTTATTATCCACCTGGTCTTTACTATTGTTTATAGTTGCCAGACTCTTTAAGCACCTACTGTTACACCTGCCTCAGCATGTTTTCCTGTGGGGTAAATCTGTTACTCCCAAGTTAATTGAACTTTGGGTTCTTAGAAGGAATTATAAAGCCAGGAGACCTCCCTTGTGACTTTTCATGGCCTTGAGATGTTGAATCTCTTTGTCTCTCTCCCCTTAGGTCAGCACATGTGCTTATATTACCCAGAAGGTGGAATTTGCTGGCATCAGGTAGCTATTATATCACTCTTGACTTATCTATGCAGTAACTGGGCTACGAAAGGTATTTGAATCATATGAATGTTGACCTCCAGGCTCATCTTGAACTCTTGCCCTCAAGCGATCCTCCTACTTCAGCCTCCCAAAGTTTTGGGATTGCAGGTGTGAGCCACTGCACCCAGCCCTAGAATCCTTTTGTAAAGAACTTTTTATCATCAACTAGGGCTGTTTGATTAGTCTGAAATATTGATCCTAAAAAGAAAGAAAGTATAAAGTATTCCTTCCCCCCCCCAAAAAAGGATTTTTTTTTCTTTATTTCCTCAACCTCTAGGACTGTGAGTTGAAAAAAAAAAAAGATATTTTAAAGGTTGTTGGATGGTCAAAAATCTTTTAAGGCCGGGCACGGTGGCTCACACCTGTAATCCTAGCACTCTGGGAGACCGAGGCAGGCGGATTGTTTGAGCTCAGGAGTTCGAAACCAGCCTGAGCAAGAGCGAGACCCCGTCTCTACTAAAATTAGAAAGAAATTAATTGGACAACTAAAAATACATAGAAAATATTAGCCGGGCATGGTGGCGCATGCCTGTAGTCCCAGCTACTCGGGAGGCTGAGACAGGAGGATGGCTTGAGCCCAGGAGTTTGAGGTTGCTGTGAGCTAGGATGATGCCACGGCACTCTAGCCCGGGCAACACAGTGAGACTCTGTCAAAAAAAAAAAAAAAAATTCTTTTAAAACTCCAAGCAACTAAGGCACAACCCAAGTGATTAATCTCAAGCAGAACAAAAAATGCAACCTAGATTCATGCTTCCAGTATAAGCATGTCTGCTGGATGGTAAACCGAGGATCAGGAAATCTGGATCTGCTCCTGCAGTGGCAGTAATTAGCCATGACTGTGAGCAGTAATTAGGGTGATATTGGGCAAGTCAGGTGAACTCTTAGTCTCCACATCTACAGCATGGAATGGTTGGTTTAGAATCTTTTTCTGTCAGGCACTAGATAATAAATATTTTAGACTTCATGGGCCACATAGATCTCAGGTCACTGTTGTATATTCTGTGTGTGTCTATGTGTTTAAAAATGTAACAACCATTCATAGCTGTGGACCATACAAAAACAGAAGATGGGCTGGACTCGGCCTGTAGGCTATATATAGTTTGCTGAGCCCGATTTAGAAAACCTCTTGGATCCCTTTCATTCTTAAATTCCTTGTTTCTCTTTGTAAATGCTCCCATACACATGGTACTAGATAGAGAAAGAAAACCCTGACTCAATGTCAGTTTTAGAGTTTTCAAGATCTGTCCTAATATTTTGCTCAGGCATGGTTAAATGTAAACCACAAAGTCTTCTATCCTTTCTCCAGAAGACTTACAGTATTTCTTTCTTTCTTTTTTTTTTTTTTTTTTTGAGACAGAGTCTCACTCTGTTGCCCTGGCTAGAGTGTAGTGGCATCAGCCTAACAGCCCACCGCAACCTCAAACTCCTGGGCTCAAGCAATCCTACTGCCTCAGCCTCCCGAGTAGCTGGGACTGTAGGCATGTGCCACCATGCCCGGCTAATTTTTCGTATATATTTTTAGTTGTCCAGCTGATTTCCTTCTATTTTTTAGTAGAGACGGGGTCTTGCTCTTGCTCAGGCTAGTTTCGAACTCCTGAGCTCAAACAATCCTCCTGCCTCGGCCTCCCAGAGTGCTAGGATTACAGGCTTGAGCCACCACACCCGGCCAACTTAACACTATTTCTATTATACATTGGATCAAAGTTCACTTTCTCTTGCTAACTACATCAATGCATGAACAAAAAAGATGTTCTGGGCCTCATGTGAGGAAAAGAAAGTATAGTAATTATTTGTATAGTTAATATCATGAATTTTTAAGGAATTTCCCTGTAATTTAACTTTCAACCTGGTAATTAGGTAAATAATTAAGGACATAGGAGACAGTTTCATTATCTTGAGACCCTGCCTTTGAAACGTTATTTTTTCTTAAAAGATAAATATTTTTATTTTCTCTGAGCAAATTCCCAATGTATTCTTTAAAGTGTTAAAACATTAATTTTAAAAACACCACAGAAAATTTTAAGAGAAAAATATCACAGTAAAATTTTATCTCCTAACGATTGACCTTTTGCTTTATTTATTTATTTTTTAATTTTTTAATTAATTAATTTTTTTTTTTGAGGCAGAGTCTCACTTGGTTGACCCAGCTAGAGTGCAGTGGCATCATCATAGCTCACTGCAATCTCAAGCTACGGGGCTCAAGCAATCCTCCTGCCTCAGCCTTCCGAGTAGCTGGGACTATAGGCACATGCCGCCACACCAGGCTAATTTTTTTCTATTTTTGGTAGACATGGGGGTTTTGCTGTTGCTCAGGCTGGTCTTGAACTCCTGGCCTCAAGCAATCTTCCCACCTCCGCCTCCCAGAGGGCTAGGATTACAGGTGTGAGCCAACCTGCCTGGCTTTTTGCTTTTTTTAAATACTAAACTTGGGATCCTAGCCTGTTTGATCATATTGTAACTTATTTTAACTTTTTAATTCACAAAATGATGAAACTTAGTTGTAAGGGATAGTGGAGATCACTGACACCAAACAACTCACTTGATAGAAAAAGGAGGGAAGTGACCTGCCTGAGCTCATGCATAAATCAAGGACTGGTGCTCCCCAGGTCCCCTCCATCGCTGTCTAGGGCTTGGCAGTGTGCCATTTGCCTCTGTTGTGCACTGTGGGAAGCCATGTGTGCTTTTGGGTTGTGTCCTGGGGGATATAAATTTTGTGCTTGCATTTGTCAGTGGCATTTCTTTCTCCCTTGAACCAGTAGAAAAGAGAAAAATACTGCCTCCAGGCTATTCTTGGTTCCTGTTGGGTAAGGAAAAATTAAAGGCTTAGGAGTAAGTGTCAACATTACATTGTGTGTGTGTGTGTGTTTGTGTGTGTGTGTGTGTTTTAATAAGGAACTATTTCCATAGGAATAATATTAATAACTGTTTCGCAGTTTACCAAGTCCTCTCGTGTACAATATCTCATTTAACCTTCCCAGGAACCCTAGAAGATGGATGGGGCAGGATTCATATTAACCACATTTACTGATTTTGGGCAAACGAGAACCAAGAGGTATTCCTCTTGGCGTAAGCCATAGGCCCGGTTCAGCTGTGTTCGTTTTGCTGATATGAGGGAGACCTGGAGAGATTAATTGATTATTCAGGATTTCCTAGGTAACCTGAGCTGTGACTTGTGATACACAGCATTTTCTGGCTTTTATCTGATCTTTTCTTTTTTATGAGGACTGATTGCTTAGGTCGGGCTGGTGACTATACTGGGGGAAAGAGAGTGAGACTGGTAGAAGATAAGGGCTTGAGAGGTTGGGTCCTCAGCAGCTACCACTTTCTCTCCAGGGTAGCAATTTGTGTTAATATTGGCTATGCTTATAGTTATCACTAGTTACAATAACTCCCTAGTTATTATACAAATAGCTACTGGTTCTCTTAATTGAGCACCTGTCCTCAGCCCTAGTGCTGTCCTGAACAATTTCCCCACATTATTTGGTTTAATTTTCAAAACAGCTCTGTAGGGTATCATTGTCTCATTCTTTAAGATAAGGATACTGAACCTCTTGAGTTATTTCCCTGTGTTCATTCAACTAGTAAGTGACACCCAGAGCTGGGATTCCTGCCTAGACCAGTTTCTCTCCAGGCTGGTTAGCTATGACAGCCATGCATTTTGTACTGTCCTGTCCATTTCACGCCCTGAAAAGTTGCACAGGAAAAACACCAAGCCTGAAAAATATAGCTCCAAGTTGTCATTATAATTTTCCAGCAAAGTGGTCTCCATTGAATAGGGATCCTGAACCTTCATGTCTCCTGACTGTGTTCGAATCCTGATACTATACTATGGATTTTTGTCTCTGTTGAAAACTCATTGTATCAAAACTGGGGTTAGCAGGTCGGGTGCAGCTCACACCTGTAATCTTAGCACTTTGGGAGGCTGAGGTGGGAGGACTGCTTGAGGCCAGGAGTTCAAGGTTGGAGTGAGCTGTGATGCCATTGCATTGTAGCCCACACAACAGAGTGATACCCTATCTCAAAAACAAAAACAAAAAAACTGGGCTTAGCAAAATTGTTCATCAGTACTTCTCAACATTTTATTGTGGCATGGACCCTTTCAAGATTTGACCAAAGCTGTAGATTCTCTGCCTGAAAAATTTTACTTATCATTTCAGAGGGTTCACAGATTCCCTGAAGCTCTATCTTAGATCTGTGTGTTGTCTATGGACTCCCAGATTAAGAGCTCCTGTTGTTCATACTCAATATGCTATGAGAATTCTTTAGATTGGATGATTTGTTCATGGAGTTCTCTTTGCAAATCTGTAACCAGTCAGGTCATTGGATATAAGTATCAGAGTAGGGGGAGCCACCTGAAGTTGCCCCTGTTTCTTTTTGGTTTAATGTAAGACTTATAATAATTTGTGTACGTGTCTCCTTTTAGGGCACAGGCTGGTGAGCTGTGGGTCAAGAATGAGAAGGTCATGTGTGGTTATATCAGTGAAGATACCAGGGTAAGATTTATAGAATGTTTTTTCAGTTTTGTCTCCCCACACCATTATGTCTTAAGTCCTAAAATCAAAAAGAATCAAACAAATATCTGATAATCTCCTGATTGCTACTGTTTGCCCAGGTGGAACTGGTAATATTGTCAGGGTCTCCTCCAACTCTGATGTTTTACGGTTGGATCTGTCTGGTTTGGAGTTGCTCTTCATTTTCTTCTTCTGAAGGTGTCTGTTTAATATTAAACAGAGAAATGTAGTATCTAGCCTGTAGGATGCTGTGCTCACTAATACATAGCAAAAGTTAAACTATCCGTCTACTTTTCTTTTCTCCTATCTCCCTGTCTCCCCTGAGAGCAGTGGTTTTCAAGCGGGGGCGATTTTTCACCCCTCCCCCCAGATGTCTTTTGACAATGTCTGGAGACATTTTTGGTTGTCACACCTGGGGGCTTGTGTCATTGGCATCTCGTAGGGATCCTGTAAACATGCTGCATGTACAGAACAGGCCTCCAAAGCAAAGAGTTATCTGGCCCCAAATGTCAGTCATGTTGTGGGGGCTGCCTTGTGCATTATGGCATATTTAGCAGGATCTCTGGCTTCTGCTCACCAGATGCCAGATTCACCCTCCACACCCCACCCTGCAAGTCAGGACAGCCAGAGATGTCTTCATATATTGCCAGATGTCCCCTTAGGGGCAAAGTCACCCTTAGTTGAAAACCAGTGACATTAGAGGTAACCATTATCTAAATTTTATTTTTGTAGTTTTTTATTTACATAATGTTAACACATATATATATTTTTTACCCTAGGTAGTATTTGTTTTGCTCATTTTTGAGTTTTATTTAAGTGGAATACAAATGGATGTCTTTTTTAGCTAGATTTTTTTGTACTCAGTACTATATTTTAAATCTGTAATTAAAGACTGGGCACAGTGGCTCATTCCTGTAATAATTCCAGTGACTTGTAAGGCTGAGGTGGGAGGATTGCTTGAGGCCAGGAGTTTGAGATCAGCCTGGGCAGCATAGTGAGACCTCGTCTCTTTAAAAGTTTTTTTTAAAAATCTGTAATTAAGAATGTATTTGGAGCTGTGCATGGTGGCTCATGGCTATAGTTGTAGCTACCTGGGAGGCCTAGATGGAAGGATTGCTTGAGGCCAGGAGTTCAAGACCAGCTTGGGTGATATAGTGAGACCCCATCTCTTAAAAAAAATAGAAGTATATAGAGTGTATTTGCTGGGTCACAGGTTCCACTCTGTAAGATATTGTCAAATTATTTTTCAAATTGTTTGGACTAGTTTATAGTCCTAGTAGGAATGTATAAAATCTGTTGTTTTTCACTTTTTCTGACACCAGGCATTAGATTTTAAAGGTTTTCGCAACTCTAGGTGGCATAAATTGGTATTTCATAGTAGTCTTTAATTTGCTTTTCCTTAGTTTTCTAAAAATTTAAAACTTGTAAGCATGACTTACAAAGACCATGATAATTTGGTATGTGCTTTCCTCTTCAAACTCCTTCATTCATTTATTGAACAAATAATATCAATGTACTCTGTGCCAGCTACCGTTGCTAGGCATTGGGGGCCATGGTGAACAGCACAGTCAAGATCCTGCTGGTAAGGAACTTATACCTAGTAGGGGGACAAAAGGAACTAGTCACCCCATCTGTAAATGGGGTAATGACAGATTATGGTGAGTACTCCTGAAGGAAAGGGACTGAGGCTGGCCTCCTTAGTAAACAAATCAAATAAATTAACAATCCTGAGAGAAATGGAACATTGAGATGGAGAATAACAGAAAAACCTTCTTTACAAAGGTGGGCAGGGAAGATTTTCCCACAAAGATACCTGAAAGATGAGACTTAGGCAATGTATAAAGGTTGCAGTCAAGAGCATTCCAGGCAGAGGAACAATTGCAAGAGGCCAATGTGGTGGAAATATTGCAGACAGGTAGGGAGAATGATGTCGGCGAGGAGGTAGACAGGTTCCAGCCAGTTCATGGAGGGCCTTCAGGGCCATTGTAACCAGTTTAGAATTTATTCTGAGGACAATTAGAATCCATTGAAGGATTTTAAGTACATGAATTATACCTTTAAAAGATCACTATTCGTTAAGCTGGATTTTGTTGAACTAAAATCCCCAAAGTAACAGTGGTTGTAATACTTGAAGGTTAACTTTTTTCTCTTATGTAAAAGAAATCCATGGGTGCATGATTCATGGCAGGTATGACAGTATTACAATTATTGGTGATCCAGGGCTCCTTCTGTCTTCCTGTTCTGCCATCTTCAGAATAAGACTTCCTGGAGCTGCCATAACCATCTCCATATTCAAGGCAGAGGACAGAGGAAGAGAGACAAGAGGGGTGTACTTCTCACCCAAGTCAGCTTCCTTTATGGGCACAACACTTTTATTTATATCTTACTTTCCTGAATTTAGTCACTTGTAGCTGCTAAGGAGTCTGGGAAGTTTAATCTTTTGACTGGGTCTCTTGCCTCCCAGAATAGAATCATCTTCTAGTTACTTGGGAAGAAGGGAAGAATGGACAGGCATTTGGCATTAACTGCTGCAGCCCCTCTGGCTCTGGTGTAGAGTGTTGTTTGTGAGGGCAAGTGAAAAATCAAAGAAACAAGTTAGGAGGCCTCCTGTAATCCATCAAGAAGGTGGTGGTGTGCACTAAGGTGAGAGCTTTAACGGTGGAGAGAGGTGGGCAGATAGGAGATACATTTCCAGGTAGAATCCACAGAACTTGCTGATGGATTGGATGTGAGGAGTGAAGCAAAAGAAAGAACTGAGCAGCTGGGTAGATGTTCGTGCCATTCATGAGATGGTGATGACAGGGAATAAGCAGGGTGGAGGGAAATCAAAAAGCTCAGTTTGTGAGATGCCTGTTGGACGTCTTAGTGGAGAAATCAGGGGAGGCAGTTGAATCTGGGCTTCATTTCATCATTTCTCCCATGTGTTTCTCCCCTTATCTCCCCAGTATCCTAGCCAAGCCAACGGTTTGCTGTTCCCCAAACATGCCACATTCTCTCTTGTGTCCATATCTTTGTACATGCTGCCCTCTCCTGCCAGGCGTGTCTCAACCCTGCCTGCCCACCTTCCCAAGCCACTCATCCAGGCGTCTCTGCTTCTGGAAAGCCTTCCTGGTCCCACAGGCTAGAAGTATCTCTATGGCACCCTGGACCTGTGCATACATTAGTAGTTACCACACTGTGGTAGGTACACTTGCTTGTGTGCCTTGCCACTGGACTGCAAGCACCCTGAGGGCAAGGACTGTATCTTTTACATTTGTATCCCAAAGGTCTCTGGCATGGCTCTTGACATTTAGTGGTCTCTCAAATGTTTGTTGAATGAAATTTTAGACATGCTCCCCCCTGCCTCAAGAATTCATAATCTGATTAGAAAAACAAGATTTTAATGTGTGAAAAGAAATCAGCACTACAAAGTTTAATTAATGTCCTAAGGCACTCTTACTTTAATTAAACTTTATAGCCTGTTCCATTACCTGGTTTTCCAGCCCACATAAGACTAGAAGTGGGCCAGGCATGGTGGCTTACGCTTGTAATCCTAGCACTCTGGGAGGCCAAGGCAGGAGGATCACTTGAGGTCAGGAGTTTGAGACCAGCCTGAGCAAGAGCGAGACCCCATCTCTACTAAAAATTAAAAAATTAGCCAGGTGTGGCAGTGTGCACCTGTAGTCCCAGCTACTCAGGAGACTGAGGCAGGAGGATCGCTTGAACCCAGGAGTTTGAGGTTGTTGTGAGCTAGGCTGACGCCACGGCACTCTAGCCTGGGCAACAGAGCGAGACTCTGTCGCAAATAACTAACAAACAAACAGAAAGACTAGAAGTGGCAGAATAAAAGAGAAGGGAGTATTAATGTCTAATGTCTGTAACTTATTTCTTTATAGAAAAAATAAGATGAATTGATACCTAAATGGATGAAAAGATGGATAGATAAATGATGTAGCAAATGTCACATCAAGTATAGGATCTAGGTGGTGAATATGTGGGTGTGTTCTGTAGGATTTTTAAAATTTTTTAGCATATTTGAAATTTTTCATAAAAATAATAATAAAGCACCCCAAGTTCTAAATTAAGAATGGCAACATTAACTATTATGATGTAATGTAGATATATATGTATATAAAATATTAAAATATGGAAAAAGTTCTAACCAGAATTAACTAGAATTTTCAAAGTGTCTTTTAAAAACATTCAAATAAAGTGAACATTTGATTTACTTTAAAAAAAAAAAAAGAAGCTGAGCATGTTGGCACGTGCCTGTAGTCCTAGCTACTTGGGAGGCTGAGATGGGAGGATTGTTTGAGTCCTGGAGTTTGAGGTTATAGAGAACTGTGATCCATCACTGCATTACAGCCTAGGTGACAGAATGAGACCTTGTCTCTAAAAACAAACAAACATACACACACACACACACACACACACACACACACACACTAAATTTTAAAAAATTGAAAAGAAAGCAAACAGCATGATTGAAAAGTGGGCAAATGGTTTGAATAGACATTTTTCCAAGGAAGATATACAAATGGCCAATAAAATGTGAAAAGATGCTGAACTTTTTTAGTCATTTCGGAAATGTAGATGAAATCCACAATGAAATACCACTTTAAATCCACTAAGATGGCCATAATAAAAACAAAATTTTAAAAAAGGAAAATAAGTGTTGGGGAGGATATGAAGAAATTGGAATGCTCATACACTCCTGGTGAGAATGTAAGATGCTACAGCCATGGCATAAAGCAGTTTAGTGGTTCCTTAAAAAGTTAAGCATAGAATTACCATATGACCTAGCAATTCTACTCTTATGTATATACCTGAGAGAATTGAAAACATTTTTCATAAAAACTTGCTTATGAACGTTCGCAGCAGCATTATTCATAATAGCCAAAAAGTGGAAACAACCCACATGTCCATCAGCTGATGAATGGATAAGCAAAACGTGGTATATTCGTATTCATACAATGGGACATTATTCAGCAGTAAAAATAAAGAAGTTCTTTTCGATTCATGCAGCATGATTCATGCAACAACATGGATGAACCTTGAAAACATTATGCTAAGTGAAAGAAACCAATCACAAAAGACCACATATTGTAGGATTCCATTTATGTCAGATGTTCACAATAGGCAAATCTATAGAGATAGAAAGTAGATTAGTGGTCCCCAAGGTATAGAGGGAGGGGAAGCGGAGAGTAACTGCTTATAGGTATGGAGTTTCTTTGTGGAGTGATGGAAATGTTCTGGAATTAGAGAGTGGTGATGGTTGCACAACATTGTGAATATACTAAAAACTACTGAATTCTAGCCTTTTTTTTTTTTAGACGGAGTCTCATTTTGTCATCCTGGGTAGAGTACGGTGGTGTCATAGCTCACTACAACCTCAAACTACTGGGCTCAAGTGATCCTCTTGCCTCAGCCTCCAGAATAGCTGGGACTATGGGTGTGAGCCACGATGCCTGGCTAAGTTTTCAATTTTAAGTAGAGATGGGGTCTCGCTGTCTTGCTCAGGCTGGTCTTCGAACTCCTGAGCTAAAGCAATCCTCCTGTCTCGGCCTCCCAGAGTGCTAGGATTACAGGGGTGAGCCACCGTGCCTGGCCTGGATCGTAGACTTTAAAATGGTAAATTTTATGCTATGTGAATTTTTATCTTAACAACAAAAATATATCTAAAAAAACAACATAAAAAAAGAAGGGACCATTAGAAGGGGGATTTCAATGTAATAATAACTGACACAGTTTCAAAGTAAAGAGAATTTAAATTGTAAAATGTAGGCATAACTAAAAATATTTTATTTATGTACATACACACAGACATAATATATAACAAGATCTAGAAAAGTATCTTTTAAATCAACTTAATAAAACATAGTTTTCATATAGTAAAACATATCCATACACAGAATAAAACCGTCTTATATGTATAGTTTGATGTTTTGAGAAAAGTGTATACCACTCTTACCTCAATCAAGGGTAGAAGATTTTCATCACCCCAAAAAATTCCCTCATATCCCTTTGCAGTCATTACCCACCCCGACAAAAGCAATCATTAATCTGCTTCTATCTCTAGAATAATTTTGCCTAAAATGGTATCTTTTTGAAAAATAACTTTAATTGTAAGAACCTTGCATGTTTACTATTTAAAAACTTAGAAAATATGTATTTTTGTTCATTTCTGTATTAGATTTCATAATTAGGAAAAGTAAACAAGAAGAAGTGAAATCACTCATAATACCAATACCCAAAGATGATCACAGTTAACATTTTGAAAGATGTATTTCCTCCCAGTCTTTGTGCTTCTGTGTGTTAGACAGGGAGAGTGATGCTGGGTGCAGTGACTCACGCCTGTAATCCTAGCACTTTGGGAGGCAGAGACGGGAGGATCACTTGAGCTCAGGAGTTCGAGACCAGCATGGGCAACATAATGAGACCCTATCTCTACATAAAATACAAAAAACTAGCCGGGTGTGTTGGCACATGCTTGCAGTCCCAGCTACTTGGGAGGCTGAGGCAGGAGGATCACTTGAGCCCATGAGTTTGAGGTTGCAGTGAGCTATGATGACACCACTGCAACAGAGGGAGACCTTGTCTGGAAAAAAAAAAGAGAGAAAAGAAAAGAAAGGGAGAGCAAATTTATCAAGTGTCTGTTATGCCCCAGGAAACTATAGAAAGCCCCGGGGAGTGAATGGTTTTTAAGGAGCAGGTCTCTAATGAACTAAAGGACTGTCAGAGATTTACATTTTGCTTTCCCGCCAAATCTCTTAAGAGCTCTGTGGAGGATAGAAGGTATTGGGTAAAGTGTGGTATAGCACACAGGGCCAGGAAACCACTTACACTCTTCCTTGAGGCAGTCTGGGTGTAGGGAAGGTATGATAAGAATTATTAATTTATTAAACTGGCAATTCATCATCCAGTACATCTTCGCCCAAGTTCTGTCAACATAATGAGATTTCCGTGACTTTCCCAGGTAGAGTCACTGCCTCGTCTGCATTTCTTATGTGAGCCTTCATGGAACATTTGTATCGGTTGCAACATTTTTTATCCTGCACTGTAAGCTCCTAGAGGGCAGGGACCAGATCTTCTCCTCAATGCCTACGATATAGGTCTCAGAGCAAGAGCTCAGTAACTATTTTTTATTTTTATTTTTAAATTTATTTTATTTTTTCTTTTAGAGAAAGGGTCTCACTCTGTCACCTAGGCTGGAGTGCAGTGGTGCAATCATAGCTCACTATAGTCTCAAACTCCTGCCTTAGCCTTCTATATTGTTGGGATTACAGGTGTGAGCCACCACGCCCAGCTCAGTAACTATTTAAATGAGAGAAAGAATGCATGGATGAAGCTTGCTTTTAGAAGTCCCCCATCATGCTTAAGAGAATTCTTCCATCATTGCTTTTTTAAAAAATTTTGATAAAAAATACATCATAAAATTTACCATCTTAACTATTTTTAAATGTACAGTTCAGTAGTGTTAACTATATTTACACTGTTGTGAAACAGATCTCCAGAACTTTTTCATCTTACAGAACTGAAACGGTATACATCCTTGCTTTCTAATGCAATTATGTTTTTGTTTATTTCAGGTGGTGTTCCGTTCTACGTCGGCTATGGTTTACATATTTATTCAGATGAGCTGTGAAATGTGGGATTTTGATATTTATGGTACTGTTCCTAAGTGCTGATTGTAGCTGTCACTGGGAAGAATTATCTGGTTTCCTACAAGTTGGTATTTTACAGGGAGCTGTTGACATTCTGTAAGGATAGGTCCTAATGCTAAGATAGATTACTATATAGGTAGATAGATAAATTGTATGTGTGTATATATTAGAAAGATTATGAAGTCCATGAAACGTAGTAAAGTATTAATGAAAAACCTGAATTCTCAGATCTTTAATTTTTCTGTAAGTACAGGATGAAATGTTATAGAATGAGTATGGTTAGCAGCCAACACTTCCTTTGATATCTTTCATTTCTCCTCCTGCCATTCACAGAATTAACCAAGTTTGTTTACATTTTATTAGAAATATGATATAATGAGTGGAGAACAACAAAGCTGCTATGAGGTACAAATATCGTGTCCAACACCTCAGCCTCATGGTGCATACAATTCAAATTTGTATTTAGCAAAATTACAAATTAATTTTTGTTATGGATCAACAACGTTGCTCATGAACATCAGGAATTGCCAATGATAATTCATGAATGCCCAGGGCCGAATGAATCATCTTCTAACAAACTTTAAGGATCACTATGAGAATTACCATATTTGGAAGTTAGAGTGTTCTCTCATTCTGAAGATACACTGTGTTTTTCACTCATCAAAGCTCTTTTCAAACTTACATTTTGCCTTGAAGCCATGGCCCCTTACTGAGTGAGGCAGACATTAAATTTGGCTTTCCAATACTTCTGGCTTCAAAGGAAAAAATAAATCAGTAAATAAATAAATTTGGCTTGATAGAAACTCTAGGATGAAACCAATTGGTACATGGCTTTTATGGTCTTGTTTTAAAATATAACAGAACCTACCTTCCCTTTGGTCCCATTCTTGTTACTTTACCTAAAGAAAAAAGTGCAAGCAAGAAATAAAGATAGTCTTTAGCCTCTTCTCATTGTTTCTTTTCAGGGGATCTATATTTTGAGAAAGCTGTGAATGGTTTCCTTGCTGATCTATTTACCAAGTGGAAGGTACGTTTCTTCTTATATACCAGGTCTCATTGAGTAAATATTACTCAGTGCAGATTTTTTAAATGCACTGTTTCTATTAAGCTACCTTAAATTGAGCTATCTTAGCTAAAACCTGGACACCATTAGCTGGGTGTTCTGGCGCATGCCTGTAGTCCCAGCTATTCTGGAGGCTGAGGCAGGAGGATCACTTGAGCCCAGGAGTTTGAGGTTGCAGTGAGCTATGATAGCACTACAGCAACCATAGCTAGACAATAGAGCAATAGAGCCAGAGATCCTGTTTCAAAAATAAAAAAAAATTGAAAAAGAAAAAGAAAACTGGATTCCAGATTTAAATTGCCCTAATCACTTCAACATGATAAAGAGCATATATGAAAAACACACAGCTAACATCAGACATACTCAATGGAGAAAGACTGAAAACTTGCCCCTAAGATCAGGAACAAGACAAGGGTGCTCGCTTTTGCCACTGGTATTCAGCATTGTATTAGAAGTTGTAGGCAGAGCAAGTCGGCAAGTAAAAGAAACAAAAGGCATCTAAATTGGAAAAGAAGTAAATCTATCTCTATTCACAGATGACATGATCCTCTGTACAAAATCCTAAAAAAACCCAGAAAAAATTATTAGAGCTAATAAATCAGCAAAGTTTTAGGATACAAAATCAACACACAAAGTCACTTGTGTTTCTATACACCAGCAGTGAATAATCCAAAAAGGAAATTAAATAAAACATTTACAATAGCATCAGGAATAATAAATACTTAGGAATAATTTGTCCAAGGAACTGTGTAAGAGTTATATGCTAAAATCTATAAAACATTGTGAAATAAATTAATGAAGACCTAAATAAATAGAAAGATAACCTCTCTTCAGAGATTGAAAGACCTACTATTATTAAAATGGCAATTCTACTTTCAGTAATCTACAGTTTAATGCAGTCCCTGTCAAAATCCCCACACCCTTTTTTACAGAAATGGAAAAGCTGATCCTAAAATCATGTGGAGTTACAAGGGATTCTGAATAGCCAAAACAATATTATAAAAGGAGAACAAAGTTGGAAGTCTCTCACTTCCTAATTTTAAAACTTAGTGCAAAATTATAGTCATCAAAACAGTGTGATACTGGCATAAGGGTAGATTTATAAATGAATAGAATTTGAATTGGAAGTCCAGAAATTAACAAATACATCTATGGTCAGTTGATTTTAGGCAAGGGTGTCAAGTCCATTCGGGGGGGAGAATATAGCTTCTTCAACAAATTGTTCTAGAACAACTGTATATCCATATGAAAAAAAATAAATTTAAACCCTTACCCTCACATCATATACAGAGATTAACCAAAATGTATCAAAGACCTAAATATAAGAGCTAAACCCATAAAACTATTTAAAGAAAATATAAGGGAAATCTTGACCTTGGATTTGTCAATGACTTCTTAGATATAACACCAACTGCAAAACAACCAAAGATAAAATAGATCAAACCTCATCAAAATTAAAAACTATTGTGCATCAATAGACACTAAAGAAAGTGAAAAGAGAACCCATAGAATGGGAGAAAATTTTGCAAGTTATCTATCTGAGAAGAGGCTAATATCCAGAAAATATAAAGATTTCTACAACTTAAGAGCAAAAAGACAAAAGACCTAATTAACAAACGGGCAGAGGACTTGAATAGATATTTCTCTGAAGAAGACATGCAAATGACCAACAAGTACAGGAAAAGATGCTCAAGATCATTAGTCATTAGGGAAATGCAAACCACAATTACCACAATTTTAAAAACATGAAAAAATTATTCAGTTACCTGACCTTGATTTCACATGAAAACATCATCCTGATCAAAAAGTATTTGAGGTCACATTATGTAGTAGAAAAAAGCATAGAGAGTTTGGATTAGAACAGACTGGATTGAAAATTATGGTTCTGTTCTGATTGGCTTTTTGACCTTTGAGAATTATTTAGTCTCCCTGAGCCTCTGTTTCCTTATCTGCAAAGTGGAAATAGTGGTAGTCCTTACTGCCTTCATCACGTATCAATTGAGAGACTTATGCCCACACCAACCCATTGTGAGACGTTTTTCCGTACATCACTTACACCAAAATTAGATAAGGATTTTTTTACATGGCATTTACATTGTATCAGGTATTGCAAGTAACCTGGAGATGATTTAAAATATATGGGAAGATGTATGTAGGTTATATGCAAATACTGTGCCATTTTATGTAAGGGACTTGAGCATTCGAGGATTTTGGTATCCTTGGGGATCCTGGAACCAACCCCCCATGGAAAGACAACTGTACTTTATCACATTTTCTGTTATCTTTGCTTCTGAGGTCATTTATTTCTATTGTGTCTATATGATGTAAGTACTGTATACTGGTGTACTACTGTGTATCTTCTCCCAGCTCTGGGTTCAGTGATGTCATGTTGGTGGCTTGAAATCAATTCCATCTTTACACCATGGAAATTGGCAAACACTGCAAATCAGGAATTGATTTGTGCTGAAGTTGAAAAGTATTTCAGTTTCATAAACATAATTTGTACAGGGCAAGAAACTGTTTTTTGAAAATTAGATAAGGATGCTGAGTTTGGAGCAATTGGAGTCTGTTAAATTAGTTCAGTAGCTAATGAAGATCTGCTTTTTCCTAGCACTCTGCCCTTGCTATTGTGGCTTGTATTTGGGAATGTCCACTTGAAATATATCCATGGGAGAATATAAAATGGCTTACAATGTGCATTATGTTGTATACCTTATATGGTGCATGCTGAATTGTCTAGACAGTAAGTATGGTTGGGTATAGAGGAGAGGTTGATTGGTGTAGGCTATTGTCTTCAAAGACCTAGGAGGAACTGAAACTGAGCTTGCTGGCTCACTGGTACAAAGCCATATTTCATGTCCATCTGTAAACACTCTCCTTCTAGGATGTTGATGTCCAGATTCATGAAAACATTTATTCTTGCTAGTCCCAGCCTGTTCAAAAATAATTCATGGCCTTGGATTATACATCTTGAGCAGCTCCCAATCCTCATCCTATGACAGTGGCAGGGTGGGGGAGTGCCTTTGATTTTAAATCCACCATCGTGGAATGCTGTTCTTGTTCCCCAAACTGCACTTCTGAAGAAATTTTAAAAACTGTGAACAGGTACAAATATCATGAGCCTCTGCTACTGGGCTGATCAATTTCATGCCACGTCAAGAACTGGGAGATGGGGGACCATTACTTGTTGGTGATTTTCAGTTTTCTGAGCATTTTCTACATTCTTGAGACTTTAAGTAACTTGCCCAAGGTCACACAGTGGTAAGTTTCAGAGCCAGGATTCCATCCAGGTCTTCTGCTTCTCAGCAGTGCTCAGCCCCCTGCACTATGCAGCATATAATTACATGAAATTATCCAAGTCTGTGCGTTGCTGCTGAGCCTCCTAGAAGTGAGAATATTATGTGCATGCAGGCTGCTTCATAGTGAAGTAAATGAAGTAAACTTGAGCACTGTTTTTCTCTACCCATGCCTAGGAGAAGAACTGTAGTCATGAAGTAACAGTGGTCCTATTTTCTAGAACTTTCTATGATGCAAAATCTGTTGGTGAGTAACTCTTTTTCCTTCTTACAGTTATTTTTTGTTATGCTTCCCCTACCCCAATGACTACCATTCCTTTTCTTCTTCTTTCCCTTTGCACTGTTCCATCTTTCCCACCTTATGAGGACAGGCTAAAACAGGAAGTACCACAGTCCATTAGTGGTTGCAAGAAGTCTGTGGGCTGTGATTCATCTGAAAACCAATTTAATAGTCTGGGTGTGGTGGCTCACACCTGTAATCTCAGCACTTTAGAGGCCAAGGCGGGAGGGTCACTTGAGGCCAGGAGTTCGAGACCAGCCTGGGTAATGTAGTAAGACCTCAGCTCTACAAAAAAAAAAAAAAATTAGTGGGATGTGGTGGCATGCACCTGTAGTACCAGCTACTCATGGAGCCAAGGCAAGAGGATTGCTTGAACTCAAGAGTTTGAGACCAGCCTGGGCAACATAGACCCCGTTTCTACGAAAAAAAAAAAAAAAATTAGTGGAGTGTGGTGGCATGCACCTGTAGTACCAGCTACTCAGGAGACTGAGGCAGGAGGGTCACTTGAGGCCAGGAGTTTGAGGCTGCAGTGAGCTATTGTCATACCACTGCACTCCAGCCTTGGGCAATAGAGTGACATTCTGTCTCTAAAAAAAGGAAAAAGAAAAAACCCCCCAAAACAAAAAACCGCAACTTAATAAACATTTATCTTTATTTTTTTGAGATGCAAATCTTTAACCCAGAGGAGGAAGCTGACAAAACTGCAAAACTCTCTTTTCAATCTGATCTACATATTTCATTTTCTCTATTTCAGATGAATTTCCTGAAATAAACCGAGCCTCAATTAGACAGGATCACAAGGGGCGATTCTATGAAGACTTTTACAAGTATGTTTGGGTGCTTTGCTATGCCTTTTATTTATTTATTGGTTGTTTCTTTCCTAACTTTAAAAAAAATTAACCTTTTTATTTTGGAATAATTTTAGATTTACAGAGAATTTGTGAAGATAATATAGAGTGTTCCCATATACCCTTTGCCCAGTTTCCTCTAGTGTTAACATTTCGTAACCAAATTACATTTGTCAAAACTAAGCGATTAGTGTGGTATGTAACTATTAACTAAATTCAGATTTCTTTGAGATTTCACCAATTTTTCCACCTATTTACTTATATGACTCAATCCAGGATGCCACATTGTATTTAGGCCTTCTAAATGTTTTATTGTGAAAAATGTCAACATATGTGAAAGAAGAGTGCATAATATAATGAACCCATATACCCAATACCTGCATTTAACAGTTATTATTTTGCCGTATTTGATTCATCTGTTTTTGACTAAATTTTGTTTTGTAAATTATAGATACCATAACATTTTATTTCTGTGTCTATAAAAAGGGCATTTTTATATTTCACCACAATATCATTATTTCATTTAACAAAATTAGTAATGATTCTATAATATCATCTGACATTTAGTGCATTTTTAGGTTTCCTTAATTGTCCCCCAAAACAACTTATGTTTGGTCTTCACAATCTCACTCTGTTGCCTGGGCCAGAGTGCCATGGCATCAGCCTAGCTCGCAGCAACCTCAAACTTCTGGGCTCAAGCGATCCTCCTGCCTCAGCCCCTCGAGAAGCTAGGACTACAGGCATGTGCTTCCACGCTCGGCTAATTTTTTCTGTTTTTAGTAGAGACAGGGTGTCACTCTTGCTCAGGCTGGCCTCGAACTCCTGACCTCAAGCCATCCTCCCGCCTTGGCCTCCCGGAGTGCTAGGATTACAGGCTTGAGCCACCATGCCCGACCTAGACCATGACCTCTTAAATGCATGAAGAAGTTTATCACATTAGCACTTCAGTTGGAAGACAGAGTAGACATTGAAATGGATGTTAGAAAGCCATTTGCTTTTCAAAAGGTGTTGGATTGATTGTTTCATTATCGCTTACGTTTTTACAAAGAGTTTATGTTTATATAAAACATAACCTTTTTGCTAACGTCTTTCATCACCTCTGACTACATTTGTTTAAAGCCCTTAAAGATTTCTTCTAACTTACTACCCTGTTACTGGTTGAGTCTTGTTTCCTCAAACTATTTCCTTCCTTAACTGAGAAGAAGAACTCCTTGTTAGTTTCTCCTCTTACCTCAGACTTGGAGATACGATGTCTCTCTGTTTCGGAGTAACCATGTATTATGGGGGTTTAGTTTTCGGCTCAAATGGTCCATCTTCCCTAGACCCCTTAGCCTTAAATATATAATATATTTCTTTGTAACTAATTGCTTCCTAAGACCCAAGCCAGCACACAATGCCTACTTGTATTTTTTTCCTTTTCCAATTTTGTAATACCATCTATAAAGAATACATCTTTTATAACTGTGATTGGTTTTTTGGTTTTTGGGTTTTTTGTTTGTTTTTTAGAGATAGGATCTTGCTTTGTCACCCATGCTAGGGTGCAGTGGCCTGATGATAGCTCCCTGTAACCTCAAACTCCTGGGCTAAAGTGATCTTCCTGCCTCAGTCTCCCAAGTAGCTGGGACTACAGGAGTGCACCACCATGCCTGGCTAATTTACATTTTTTTGTAAAGAGAGTGTCTTGCTATGTTACCCAGGCTGGTCCCAAACTCCTGGCCTCAAGTGATCCTCCTGCCTTGGCCTCCCAAAGTGTGGGATTGCAGGCATGAGCCACCATGCCTAGTCTGTTTTTTTTTTTTTTTTTTTTTTTTTTTTTGAGACAGAGTCTCACTGTGTTGCTCGGGCTAGAGTGCCATGGCGTCATCCTAGCTCACAGCAACCTCAAACTCCTGGTTTCAAGCAATCCTCCTGCCTCAGCCTCCCGAGTAGCTGGGACTACAGGCATGCGCCACCATGCCCGGCTAATTTTTTCTATATATTTTTAGTTGTCCGATTAATTTCTTTCTATTTTTAGTAGACACGGGGTCTCGCTCTTGCTCAGGCTGGTTTCGAACTCCTGAGCTCAAACAATCCACCCGCCTCCTAGCCTCCCAGAGTGCTAGGATTACAGGCGTGAGCCACCATGCCCAGCCGTCTGTTTGTTTTTTAAAATAGATATTGTGGATAAGTGCCAAAAAATAACAAAAGTTATGGAAACTTTTTAAGCAGTTTTTTTGATGACCTTTTAAACTATTTATTTAAAAAATTTTAAGCCTATGGGACAGAAGAAGAATTTTTTTAATTTTTAAAATTATCTATATCACTATGATAAATACATAGTTATAGATCCCTAGGTTTCTCTAGAATAAATTCCAAGCATTGAAATTATTAAAGAAAGTGTATATTTTTTAGTTAAATTTAACATTTTTTTGCAATACATTTTTTTGCAATACATTCACATGGTTCTAATTTCTAATTCACAAGGTATACTGTAAACAGATTCCCACCCATCCCTTTCCCCTAATCAAGTCTCCCAACCTGGACATGTTTGTTGGATTTACATGTAATACATATATATGGATGTTATTTTTAAAGGTTTTTTTATACATACCACCTAATTGTAATTCAGGAGAGTAAAATTTACATGCCCTCAACAGTATGTGAGAACGTTCATATCTCTGGCCAACACTGGGTATTAATAAAATATGAAAGCAATTTTTTTTTATGTTTTTCTATTTTTTACTTTTATGTGATTATGAATGTGATCATATCTCTTTGTTAATGTTTGTTAAGGGTATTTAACCTCATTACTTATTATTATATAGTTAATTCCCCTAACTCTGGGAATCCCATCTTCTTCTTTCCTTGAAACTTTATAAGGGAACTGATGTGATAGCTGCTTGATATCCATTTTACAATAATACTCCTTTCAGAGTGGTGGTGCAGAATGAGAGAAGAGAAGAGTGGACTTCCCTCCTCGTGACCATTAAAAAGCTCTTCATCCAGTATCCGGTGTTGGTGCGCCTGGAACAGGCAGGTACTGCATCCATGTAACAGAAGGTGTGGTGGCGAAAGAAGGCATGGGAGGGAGGCTGGAAGACAGAGAAGAGGTTTCTGCTTGTTTCCCATCCACTGCTGTGTGTAGTTTCTGCTTCTGGTCAGGTTTCTATTTCCAAGTGGATCCAGTTGTTCATTCCATATGTAGTAAGTTCAACAGTGTCCCTAGTATAGGGTGGGGCGCCCTGGGAAGCCAAACACCTTCTACTTATTTTTCGAGAGTTCATCTTTCATGAGATGTTTTTCCTTTGCTTGTATCTTTTGCTTCAGAGGGCTTTCCTCAAGGAGACAATTCTACCTCAGCACAGGGAAACTACCTGGAGGCCATCAATCTGTCATTCAACGGTGAGTCCAGATGCCCCCACAGCGAGCCAGCGTCTTGCTTACCCGTGGCTATGAACTTCTCTCTCCTAATGCTCAAAAGACCCAGACCTGGGTGATGATCCCCCTGCCCACCTACCCCCCAAATTAATTCCATGCAGTAACTTCTGATTGGATGGCTTTAATGACCAACATTTAGCTCTTGGGTCTTCTGTTGGGAAATTAACTAACTTGGTAGTGTCATCTGTTTCTCATGGTAAAGAGCCAGAGGGAGTCTTCCTTGGGCTCTTTGTTTTACTACAAACTGTGCTCTTATTATTTTCTACCCGATCCCTCAACTGCTTCTAGGTAATTAAAAAAAAAAAATCTACTTTAAAAAAAGTACAAAAGTGACCCATGTTCACTTGAATGTTCACATTCAAGAATGGAGAGGTGTATTAAGTAAAAAGTGATACCCCTCCCCCAGCACTACCAATCCTTTTCTAAGGGGAACCATTGTTAACAGTGTGGTGTGATTTCTTCTGAATGTCTGTCCCTGTGTTTGTGTGTCAGCTGAAATACCATTGCTTGGAACTAACAGAAACCTACTGAGTTAGTTTAAAGAAAAAGGGAAATTTACTCTAAGGACGCAGGAGCTTAGTGGGGCAGCCAGGAAAGGCTTAAATACCATGTTGGAGAAGGCGGGGACCTTGGTAGCTCTGGGAACCACAGTAGCAGGAATTCTTAGAGCCATATTCAGCTCTCAGCAACCCTGTCTCTGCTCTCCTTTGCTCCTCTGGGAATTCCACATTCCCGGTAGAGAAAGTCTGATAGGCCCAGCTCTGCTTAGGTGTCTGGCCAGTGGTGGAAGTGATGACGTGTGTTCACATCACTATATCACCTTCCCATGTGTTTGCACCCAGGTGCTGGGGAATTCTAGAAAATAGTGTCTTTTATTAGGAAATCTTTTTGTTGTATTTGAATATCACTGATTTTCCATAGTAAGAATCGCAGATGCTAGAAATAAAAATTAACTTGCCAAATTTATAAAGTCATCCCAAGATTCTGGTCTAGTTTCTTAAATATTGTCTTAAATTGATATTTGATTCTTGTGAGTTTCAATAGACTCATTTATGGATGGTTTAAATTAACAACATGGGGTCCGAGCGGTTAAGGCTGGCTGCATTAAGGCAAGTGTTAGGCATCCATGGGGGGGATTGACAAAGGTGACAGGGACTTAGTTCTGTGTTCAAGCAGTTCTTAATGTAGGAGAGGAAAGACAGACAACCAACTGGAATGTGGCAGTTGGTATAATAGAAATATGGACATAATCCTCTGAGAGTGCAGAGATGCACCTGTGGCTGGTTTCTGAAAAGTTGTAACATCATTATCAGGGAATTTTTGTTGTATTTCAAGTGTTTGACAAGCACTACATCAACCGCAACTTTGACCGAACCGGACAGATGTCTGTGGTGATCACGCCCGGGGTGGGTGTCTTCGAGGTGGACCGCCTGCTCATGATCTTGACCAAGCAACGGATGATAGACAACGGTAACACTCCCTGGTTTGTGCTCTGGCCCTGTGGGTTTATAGCCTGACTTTCCTCTGGAACCCTGAGCTGTCACTGACTTCTTAGAGTGTGAGGAGCTCTGCAGGGTGTTCTGTGTGTCACAAGATCTGGAGATGTCAATAAATGTCAGGTGATGAAAAGAATTGCGTGGTCAAATCAGTATGGGAAATGCTGGGTCATACACAAATAAGCAGGTTCCATGATTGCAGATCTTCCCTAGAGTTTTTAATACGTTAGTGTATGTTGTTTATCTCTACAGGCTGCATCTAGTACCCTGAGTTCCCCAAACATATTTGACACAAGAGAACCCTTTCTGGGGGGATTGTTTCAAGGGACCAATGTGCCATCAACACATCTTGGAAAGCACCATCAGGTCATCTAGTCCAGTCCTCCCTCCGTAACATGCCTTGCTTCTCCAGCTTGACCCCATGCACTTGATTTGATTTCCGTTTCACCAAGATGGAGCTGGTGATTGCCAAAAAAGATGTGTTAGGTGACATGGATTGTTTTTCTTTTTATTGAGGTTGCAAAGTTCTTATTCCTTTCTGGCCTCAAAACTTTAGTGACCGAGGCCTGGTTGTCTTGTTTTACAAATTATGACCTACAAGGCAGTCAGAGGCTAATTATCAAGCACTGAATAGTGGCAGGTGTGAGCAGACTCAGAAAAGAGGAACCAGACAAAATGCATCTATTTATTTCTTTACTGCATAGATAGCACTGGTGAGGTTATAAAGCATAGGATGGTAAGTTGGCTTTGCCTCATACCCAGTTAAATAGCATCATTTATAAACTGGGACGCTTATGTTTGCCACTCCCCTCCCCCCTCTTTTTGTCTTTTCTTTTTTAGGAATCGGTGTGGACTTGGTATGCATGGGAGAGCAACCGTTACATGCCGTCCCATTGTTCAAGGTAATCAGATTTTGGATTTGCTTGCTAAAGGCCAGGTTGAGAATAGCCAAAAACGGAAAAGTTGGAACAGTTCCACATCCTACTTGTTTTTTCGCTTATCCGTGCACTTACTGTTTTCCTGCAGCTACATAATCGGAGTGCTCCTCGGGATTCTCGTCTGGGTGACGACTATAATATTCCTCACTGGATAAACCACAGGTGGGTGTGATCTTGATTCATAGTAGGGTGACAAGGGTTTCAAATAGCTTCTTTGCCACTTTCTCTTTAAATCTGTTAAGTTCTTATTTATGGCATAACCTTTTGTCAAGAAAATGTGGAAACCAAAGTTCTAACATTTGCTTAAAGCTTCTCTACATGCAAAGCAGTAGCAGTAACATGGGAACAGTCTATGGTGAAAAAGTCAAAACAAATGTGAAGGGCTTATTTCACCTTCTGTTCCCAAGTCCTACTATTTCCAACTCCCACAGACCATAGTAGACCCACGTTGTGCCTGGCCTTCCTCATCCTTGGAAAAGTCCCCGTGCCTCCTTGCATGGGACCAGGTTTCAGCATTCCTGCTGACTCCACCTCAGGGATGGCCTCTGTCTTCCCTCTGCCAGTGTCACTGCTTTATCTCTGTCCTCATCTGTTTGAACTATGGCACTGATCCTACTGGTGTGTCTATTTCTAGTCTCTCCTTTCTTCAATCCAGTCTTTAAACCAGGGTTTTACAACCTTGACACTATGATGTTTTGGGGCAGGTCATTCTTTGTTGTGGGGTTGTCCTGGGCTTTGTAGCATGTGGAGCAGCATCCCTGGCCTCTACCTGCTTGATGCCAATAGCACACGCCCCTAGTTGTGACCACCACAAATGTCTGCAGACATTGCCACATGTCCCCTGCATGGCAAAATCCACCTCCCCTGCCCCTCGTTGATAATTACTTCTTTAGACCAGTGGTTTTCTTCTTTTTTTATTTTGTTCTTAAGCAACAGGGCCCTTTCTTCAAGTTAAAGTCTTGGAATCCCAATATATAAAAGTAAAATGTATTAGTGTTCCTCTCTGTCCTCACATGGCAGGCCCTGATGTAGCACCAAGAGCCCTGGGGGTCTGGGGAGCAGTATCCAGCAACCTCTGCTGTACCTGGCTGCCTGAGTCATTTTTGTGAAAACCAAATCCTACTGCTCTTTCCCTCTGATTCTTCATGCCAGTTTGGTAACGACTAAAGCGTTTGAAATCTGAGGCCTCCTTGCCCACCGCTGCCCTCTTTCATTCTGCATGGCAGCACCTCACTTCTGGGCCTTTCTATCCTGAGGACCTCTCCATCTGCCCTCTTTCACAAATGCCTATGTATCCCCTGGACCCAGCTCCATCATACCTCTGAATTCCTCCTGTGTTGCCTCCAATATCCAATAGCTGCTTTCTCTTTAGTGCTTCCAGAGCATTCTGTCCTCCTCTGGGTTGTTTGTCTATGGCCAGAACTTATGAGGAGCAGAAGACCACTGGGCTTTTGCCTCAGCACAACAGAACCTTCAATTTTGGCTTCTGTTTAGTTGTAAATCTTTACTGGAAACCAGCTTGAAAACTCACCACAAATGTTGATTTCAGCTTTATAGTATATCCTTTATCTTTGTTATGGGCTGTTTGCCATCAGTCTAGTGGTTCTGCTGGTCACCTATAATATTCATAGGTGAAGAACCACGAATGAGCAAAGGAATAGTTATTTTGGCCAGTTCTGTGAGGATGATGTGATCACATTGTAATTATCCTGTTCTGAGTGGGAGCCCAATGCGATACTGTCTGAGTGGTCACCTATGTTTATCCTTTACATATGTGTACATAAAGTTATACTTTTAATGATGTTCAATTTTGTATGTTGTTGCATGGCCTGATGAGGTCATTTAAAAAAAACAGTGACTGCTTCATAATTAGATGCGTTTGTAACCTTTCTCATCTTGTGTTTATGTTACCATTATTTTAAAAACCTGGTTCTTGGCCAGGCATGATGGCTCCCACCTGTAATCCCTGCACTTTGGTGATGGCTGAGGTGGGAGGATCACTTGAGGCTGGGAGTTTGAGACCAGCTTGGGCAACAGAGTGAGACTCTGTCTCTATAAAAAATAAAATAAAGTAAAAACCTGGTTCAAGTAAAATGGGAGTATTTTGAGCTCATTTCTTTTTTCACTTATTTCAGAGTAACTTCTTTTTTGTCAGCCTCTGTTTTTGGATTTGTAATCTTTTAATAGACCTTCAGATACAATTGCAGTAAAAAAAAAAAATAGCCACCCTTTAATTATACACCATATTTCATGGTTTTCAGTTTAGTTCAAGAGATAAGGTAAAAAGTAAGCATAGCATACACAAAATTGCATATGAATTTAAGTATGGCAATTTCCTCAAATTTTACTTTATAGTAACTTGAAAATTTCCTGAATTTTCACTTTATTTTTCACCCTAAATTGCTTCTCTGATACCAGTTAAGATGGAGGATGGAACGACATGCTTCAGAGTCTGAGAACGGGGAGGACCCAAGGCCTGCTTTTACGTTTCCTTTGAGCCTTGTTTGCCTGCGCCACTTGGGGATGGGAACAAGAGGGCATGAAACAGAGAGCTGCTCACAGGGGCCATTGTTCTTTTCCAATCAGCAAAACCTCTTTAGAAGCAGGCAAAGTATTCCCACTGTACTAAGGCCAGACACCTTACTAAACATAATCAAATTATCTTCAGTGAGAACTTATTACTCCCATAGTATTATTGGCTAATAATGAAAAATTTTTTTTTTTTTTTTGAGACAAAGTCTCACTCTTTTGCCCGGGCTAGAGTGAGTGCCGTGGCGTTAGCCTAGCTCACAGCAACCTCACACTCCTGGGCTCAAGCAATCCTACTGCCCCAGCCTCCCGAGTAGCTGGAACTACAGGCACGCACCACCATGCCCAGCTAATTTTTTCTATATGTTTTTAGTTGTCCGATTAATTTCTTTCTATTTTTAGTAGAGACGGGGTCTCACTCTTGCTCAGGCTGGTTTCGAACTCCTGAGCTCAAACAATCCTCCCGCCTCGGCCTCCCAGAGTGCTGGGATTATAGGCGTGAGCCACCGCGCCCGGCCTCATAATGAAAATTGATCCAAAAAGTAAATTAATGTCAAATATGTAAGAGTTATAAAACTGAGATTTTTGGGCTATCACAGAATGTAACTCAATCTATTTTAGAAGTCATATAGACCATCCAGTCCCATTGTACAGGTGGGGAAACCAAGTTCCAGAGAGGTTAAGTGGCTTGCCTAGGGTTGAACAGCAAGTTCATGGCAAAACTGCAGTTATTAGTTTGAGCCATTTGAAATCATGATATTAGACTGTTTTTGACCTTTAAAAATAGCAGTTTCATTATGGTTCTATTTAATAGAAACCCTTTCTTCTGGCTGACATCACTTTATCACTCAGATCTTTTACAGTTAATATCTGGGAAGAGAGTAACATCCTCTACTTGGTGCTTTCCTGGATACCACTGTGAGAGGCCAAATCCCAGGGCCCAGTTGGACTCTAGGTCTCACTACGGGTGGCATCTTAAGTTCTTTTCTTCTTAATATACCATGAGGATTACTTCATAATCCATTGGTTATCTATTAAAACTGCCTTTGTAATTTTTATTTTATTTTTTTTTTGCTCATGGTCAGCGGTTTGGTGGAAGGTAGAGATTAGTCAATATTCAAAACATCTTGACCACAAGTTAATGATAGATAAAAGAGAATACAGAGAGATGCTTAAGGAATAGTAAAGGCTGCACAGCCTCTATTCACTCATTCATTCAACATATTCAGGACAAGGCTGAGTCTCATGTACCTGACATGACTATTTTAAGATGCTTGTCAGAGGGATTGGGATTTCATGGTTGCTGCCATCTTTTCTTGAGTATTAACCCTTTTCCTTTCTTGCCTTGGTTATGCTGCTTACTAAGTGCTGATCAATCAGTGAGTGATAAGGACCTCCCTTGGGTGTAGCACCCTGCCAGGTATCAAGGTGAAAGCATCACCGTGTAAATAGATTTTAATTCCTGCCACAAGGAGGAGATTCTGATCCGGTTAGGAGTTAAGACTTGCACACATGAAATAATTTATGGGGAAAAAAAGAATAGCATGACAATTAAAACATAATGTTTCGTAGTCACCTCTTGCAAAAGAAGTTAGAATTGGGAAGATCAGTGAAGCTTAAAACAAATTCCATCACGGGAGGACTGATCCATGCCTGGCATTTCAGTTGTGTCTTGAGGTTAACATAAAAGGGATTTAGATTAATGACCTTGTTTGTTTCTTTTACAGTTTCTACACGTCCAAAAGCCAGCTCTTTTGTAACAGTTTCACCCCACGAATAAAACTGGCAGGAAAGAAGGTAGGTTGCACTAACCAGCAGAGCCCGTCACACATTGATTTGGTTATTTTAGTACTGAGGTACCTTCATTCATCTCCCCCCATGGTCATGAGTAGGATTTAAGAAATTTGTCTTAGAACTTTACAGTTTTATACATCAGATAAATAAATAACAAGATAAACCCCAGACAGCATGAAAAAATATGACAAAGAGTTAATGTTATTATGATATGACTGATTTATTCAGCTACTGAGGCCACTCAGACACCAGTGGGGCCAAAACACAGATACACACTATAGCAAAGGGGAAATATGATAGAAAGGTCACATCCTAATAGTAAAGAAATGCAAATTCAAACTAGAATGGGGATTCTTTTTTTTTTGCTTACGAATAGGTTTAAAATATATTAATAATTATACCACATATTGGAAAAAGTGTGATGAAATTGGTACTTGAGTACCTGGTTGGTGTGCGATAATTTTGCAAAGCGGTTCAACCATGTGTGTCAAGAGCCATGTAAATGTTCATGCCATTTGACTAGGCAGTTCCATTTTGGGCATGTGAAGGGAAATAATCTAAGTTACTATATGCAGATAGATTTGGGTCTAGTTTTATTTATAATAGTGAGAAGTTGAAAACAATAAAGCAATGGCTGAGTAAACCATATAATATCTACTTGATGGAATATATTTGTAACTAATAAAAAATGCAAGTTTTAAGAACCTGAACAAGTGTTTTTGATGTAATGTGAGAAGAAAAAAAGGGTGTTATGTTTATAGGCTTCACACCAGGGTACTGTCACCCTTCTACTGGTTTTCAGAAGAGCTGAATTCTCTGAGGGTTTCCCCGTTTATGGCTATGTTCCATTAGTAGTATCAGGGCCACTTCTTCCCTTTTCTTTTTTCTTGGGGTGGGAGGAGGGCTGTTAATGTTAATCTTCTAATAGGGGAAATATTAATTTGGAGGAATCTGAGGACTCCTTAAATAGGCTATGTCAAGTAGTAAAGTGCTAGGAGATGGGACTCTGCCTAGAAAGAGCCTTCTCCTGCTTTATGAGGTGTTTTTTTTTTTTTGAGACAGAGTCTCACTCTGTTGCCCTGAGTAGAGTGCGGTGGCGTCAGCCTAGCTCACACCAACCTCAAACTCTTGGGCTTGAGCAATCCTACTGCCTCAGCCTCGCTGGGCTTGGATTTTGACTCTGCCACCTGCTAATCATGTGACTGTGGGCAAGTCCCTTATCCTCTCTAGAATTGAATATCCTCACCTTTAAAGTGGGGTCATGCCCCCGCTGGGTAGGATTCTGGGAGTAAACAAGATGTGAGGCGGGAAGTAAAGGATCATCGTAGGTAGGTGTCAGATGTTAGGTCCTGCTTTTCTGTCAGTTGCAAGGAGGGTTAAAACATGGTCTCTGCCCTGGGGAGCAGCCATGTGCATACTGTGCCTTTTGATAAGTTCTATTCTGGCAGAGGAGGAAGTGATTAATTATCTGTTTAATTTTACAGCCTGCCTCTGAGAAAGCAAAAAATGGCCGTGATACGTGTGAGTATCTTTTGAGATCTTCTTTCATCACTTTTAGAAAGAGTCCACTAACCCCTGGCAAAAAGTTATGTGAAGTCACTTAAAAAGTTCAGAGAAAAATCAGGAGACCTGATTATTTTTTGTGTCACTTTGGAAAGTCCTTTAACTACCTTGTATTTTTGTCCTGTCAACTGTAAAATGATGACAAAACCTTGTTTTCTTTTCCCCATAGATCAATTGTCGGGATCAGGTAGAAAGTTTTAAAGTACTAAACATATTAAGATGGTATTTTTAAAGTGGAATCACAGAAGAATGAAATGCTACCAACACCTTGCCGTCATTGAGTGTTATATTATTCCTGTATCGCTTTGGGACATCATTGAGTCTCACCAACCTGATGAATGAGTTACCCGTTTTTCCAGGGGGAGATGATGATCACCTATGCCTTGCAAATTTTGGTGAAACCCCTCTGAAAGCATCTGTTTTAAATGTATTCAGTTGACAATTTGTATTATTTGTGTTTTTCAGCTCTCGGATCTCCAAAAGAATCTGAGAATGCCCTTCCCATCCAAGTAGATTATGATGCCTATGACGCTCAAGTGTTCAGGCTGCCTGGCCCATCCCGGGCTCAGCGTCTCGCCATCTGCAGGTTTTCTGCCAGATTCACTTTGGGGGATAATGGGTATATAAAAATTGTTTAGGAAAACCTGAGGTCCACTGGGGACCTTTATGAGAGTAACCTTGAAAATGTTTTAAATTAAAATTAGCCAGAGCCGGGTGCGGTGGCTCACGCCTGTAATCCTAGCTCTCTGGGAGGCCGAGGCGGGCGGATTGTTTGAGCTCAAGAGTTTGAGACCAGCCTGAACAAGAGCGAGACCCCGTCTCTACTAAAAATAGAAAGAAATTAATCGGACAACTAAAAATATATAGAAAAAAATTAGCCAGGCATG